TATTATTATTCAAGGGTTGTCGTGTAAAGATGAGGAAGGAAAACAGAGGTGCTGGTTTTCCGGATAAATCTGCAAATCCGGATTTCAGAAATTGTCCGGTTTTTGTCTGCTTTCAGGCTGATTGTCGTGAAAAGAACGTCTTAATACTCGAAGGAGCAAATGGCCGCTGTTGTGTCGATGTGCTTCTCTTTACTCAAAAGGAGACTATAAATAATTATGTTCTTATTTTATTTAAAGATTCATTTTTAAATACCCGCAAGAAAGTAGCATTACTCCTAACTCTTTGACACTATCCGTACGTCGTGTTTTACTATGCTATCGTATCCATACGACGTGGGGAATTCTGTGCCACCACTTCAAAGAGGAAATTTACTCGTTAATTCGATCCGTACGCTCTTTGCATAGCAGTCTGTCAAAATGATTTTTTGGAGAAATACTGAAAGTTTCAAAGACATCTGCATACTAGAAGTATTCTAAAAATGTGACGAATACAATCCCGGGGTTACAAAATGACTCCAGGGCGTACGGATAGGGTTAAGTTTATCCTGATCACATCATCATTCGGTTTTGTGATTTCCTCTTTTTCAGATCCAGCCATGAGGCAGAGAGGAACAAAGGCTCCAGCACAGATACTCTTCAGCACACACCTCGAGGACTGAAGGGTTCGGAGACAGTTTCTATGTCCTTCTGCTGCAACTGCTAGAAGTCGGAAGATATAATTATAATATACAGTGAACTACAAGGAACAGATTGAGATTTCACGCGTCGGATTTTGTTTTATTTTTCGGTTTCACTTAGTTGGTGAAGTGTATATTTAGGGGAATTCCCAAAGTACGTCATTGGGGGAATTACCGGAGAGAGATGTGCCACGTTGGCAGAAGCGTGTGCTTTTAGAGTGGGATTCAAACCCTTAACCATGTGACTCGGAGTGCTGGAAGTGTGTGTGTCTCTCGCTGCCCATCAGTTTAGGGTTGTTATTCATCCGAGTTTCTGATAGTCTTGTTGGAAAAAGGAGTGTTGTTTGCTCAAAGGCGAGGTCCAATTCCATTAATTCTCGCCAGAGACAGAAAGTGAAGCGATATTTTTGGTAAATAACATTTTTTTTTTTAAGAAAGAAAAAAAAAGAACCCTCTTGAAGTAAAATTAATTTTGTCAGTGCGTGCGCGTGTATTCTGGGTGTACTCCTGTTTTTAGAAGCTTCAGGGGTACCTTGGGTAGGCGACTCACCTACACAGCAGTGTGTGTTTGTGTGGCCCTGTAGTGGCCCCCTGCTGTGTGTGTTCGTGTGTGTGTCGGTGAGTGCACGGGTGTGCAGTGTCCGGGGAGCAGGAGGAGACCAGTCGCCGTCGTCTGGCCGCTGACCATGCCCGCCAGGGGCCGCGTGACGTCACGATGATGCCATTCATGTCCAAGAAGAAAAAGTTCAAGTTCCAGGTGAGAGAGAGAGAG